TTATTTATTTTGTTGCTCAAATGCTTCCAGTTTTGGTCATTAGAAATTCAGTCATTGAGTTTAAATGACTTGTACACATAAATGACTGTCATTATTTCTATCCCGTTCCTTCCCAGAGAGCCATTGCTCCTTTAAGAACTGGGCATTGCTTCTTTATGATCAGAAGCCACATAAAGGAGCTGTAATGGGGGGATACCAGAGGCCTGTGGAAGGCAGGACAATGTATGTGCAAATAGTCAGCTCCCAACAATTTTGCAGGAGTAAGAGGAGTAGCAAAATATCAGCCTTTCCACTGGTGCTGCTCCAGGGAGTCCCAAGAGAGCAGGACCATGTGCCTGGGGCCACATCATGCCCACTTAGACACCTTGTGTCTGCAGAATTACCAGACAGTTTCAGAGACATTGGAATGCTGCTTTTGGTGCTCTCAGCTGCTAACTGAAGACCACTCCCTTTCTCCCTGGTGCATGAGTGCTTAGTGAATATTTGTGGAGTGACACCTGGTGTCCTTCCCATTCCCATGGTGGTGCAAAAATTTATGCAGTTAGAGATTCTCCAAGAATATGTAGCATTCATGCTACTTTACCTTTTGTTATAGCTTGTCTTCTTTGTTAGGAATTTTTATGATTATGGAAAATTTCAAACATACACAAAAGTAGAGAGAAAGAAAATGGACCCTCAGGCACCTATCTTTTTTTTTTTTCTTTTTTCTGTGACCGGTAAGGGGATCATAACCCTTGGCTTGGTGTTGCCTGCACCGCGCTCAGCCAGTGAGCGCACCGGCCATCCCTATGTAGGATCCGAACCCATGGCCTCGGCGCTCCCAGTGCCGCACTCTCCCAAGTGAGCCACAGGGTTGGCCCAGGCACCTATCTTTAATACTTCTCGATATTTTACCTTCTTGTTTCATCTATTCTCCCACTTTGGGGTGGGGAGACTAGCATATTTGAAACAAATTGCAGACGTTAAGACCTAGGAAAAGATTGAAATAAACTCTGAGTGCAAGGACTGTGCTTCAATTCCCTTTATATCTTTTTGCTGCCTAGTACTATGCTTGAAAATAGCAGGCACTCAGAAAACACTGGTTGAGTTGAGTTGAGAAGAAAACAGACGTGAAAACATCATTTTGAACTAACTCCAGAGCAGACTTCTAGAAAGGAAAATGGTGGCGAGTCTTGCCCTAAAACAGCTTCTTTCAAGTTGCCTGAATTTGTTCTCTACAGTCCTGACTCCCCCACTGCTTTTAGAAGGCCTCAATTGAAGAAGAAAATAACTCTGGAACTGTAATGAGAGTTCAGGGTCTCCCAATTACTTAAATGTTAGTATAAATAAGTCCAATCTGATGATATTTTCTCAAATACCAGCCAGGAATTACTTGCCTAAACATAGCTTTCTTTAAAAAGTCATTGTGTTTCTAATTATAAAAGTAATATATACTCATAAAAAGAAAAATGGACATTATAGAGAAATAGAAAATACAAGTCATCTGTATTTCAGTGTTAATACAGAGATAAAATTATCTTGGCTGGTATTTCTGATATTCTAGTATTTGAACATGAATCACATTGACAATCAGAGTCACTTGTGTTCCTGGGAATGTACCAGGAGTGCTTGGTGTATCATCTCATGCTTACAGCAATGTTGTGAGATGAAGTTTTTTTTTTTTTTTAAACCATTTTATGCTGGGGAAGCACACTGCGGGGGGCGGGGGTTGCCTCCCATCACTTAGCTGATAAGCAGGGGGATGAGGGCAGGGGATCTGGAAACCTCACCCTTGAGCTTCCTTCATGCTGGCTGGCTGTAGTCAGTTTTGGGGAGGGCTCTTAGGCTTAGAGAAAGGGGTAAGTGATTATTTTTAACTGGGTCGCATGTAGTCTAGAGAAGTGGGATTAGCAATGGAGGCCTAAATATTAAGTAAGCATTAGTAGTGGCTCCTCACTTTTAGAATAAATGTTTCATGTTTGAACAAATTGCATAGGCTGCAGCTCTCCAATAGTTATGATTAGTCACAGCACGCCTTTACTTCTTGTGTAGGTTTTTTTTTTTTAAATTATTTTTTAGAACAATTTTAGGTTCACAGCAAAATTGAGTGGAAGGTACAGAGATTTTCCATACACCCCTGCCGTGGGTTTGTTTCTCAGTCTCTCTCAGCCACATTTCTCCCTCTGTAAAATGAGGGAGCTGGACAATGTTCCTTAAGATTCTTTCTGCTTCTAATGTTGTGGTAATTTTATGATCATCAGTTGCTTCAACTCAGTGACTCTCTCTTTTTTTTTTTCCTTTTTGTCTTTTTTTTTACTGACCGGTAACGGGATCGCAACCCTCGGTGTCACACCCGTACCGGGGACCGGCAACGGGATTGCAACCCTCGGTGTTGCGCCTGCACCGCACTCAGCCAGTGAGCGGGAACCGGTCTCCACATGGGATCCGAACCCTCAGTGGGAGCACCGCCGCGCTCCCAAGCGGCGCACTCTCCATTGCGCCACCGGGCCGGCCCAGTGACTGTCTCTTTCATGGGACTCTCTCTCTAAATAGCTCTAAGAAAAGCAGTGTTTCCAGTCTAAATTTTCTAAGATTGATATTTTTATAAAAAAACAATTGCCAATCCCAACATTTAAGCCTCCTGCAATTAAGTCCACAAGAGGTTGTCTGATTGACCCCAAGAACGTGAAAACTTACTGTCACCTGGAGGGAAGAGAACAGGTCTCTAGGAAGGCATATGAACAGTTAGCCCCAAGGAAAGGACAGGAGGATGTGGGAGAGAGGTAGAAGGCTACCAAAGGGAATCTGCATATTTCCAGGGTTTGTGTTGGGCCTGCCCAGGCACTAAGGGGAGAAGAGAGGAAACATACACGTGAAGGATGTGGCAGAAGCACAGCCTGGGAGCTGACCACCTGACCTTGGACCCAGCTGTCTACTGCTTACTAGTTGTGTGGTCTTGGGCAAGGTACTTAATCCTGCTAAACCTTTGTTTTCTCATCTCTAAAATGAGGATACATAATTCTTACCTGCAGGGTTGAGATGAGAATTAAATAAGTTACTACAAGCAATTTAACCCCAGTGCATGGTGCAGAGTAAATACACAAATAAATCGCACTTATTAGCTGTTATTACTGCCTTCAGCATCGACTTCCTGTGCTACTTTCACAGGACCCTAAACACAGGCCATACTGTTTAATTGCTTCCTGGGTCAAACATTCTCTTTTGTGGTCTGACCACAGAACCTAATCTCCATTTCCATTTATAACATTTTGTTTAGAAAGAAATGTTTTCTAGATTTCTTTCAAGCTAACCTAGAACTAAATTTTTGGAATACGACCCTTACTGAGTATGAAACTGTCTTGAGAGTTGCCAAGATTGTTTTTGTTGTTGTTTTTTATAGTTACTTAGTATCTCCCCACTGCTCATTACAGAAACAAACTTTGTTTTCATTATAAAAGGACCATAATATAAAAATATATGTAAAATATACGTAAGTATAACACTATATAATAAAAAGCTATACTATTGAGAATTCTAAAAAGAGAAAAAACACCCCAGCTAGTTCTATACTCCTAATACAATTGTTAGCTTTTGAGTATATTTCTTTCTAGACTTTTCTTAATTCTATATCTTTAGTCGTAATCATAGCACACATATATACTGTAGTTTACTTTCTGTTTTTCTTTCTGTCACTTTAGACTTAATTGTAATTGTTTCTTTTATACTTAGCATAGAAATATTTTGGTCTCCCATTTTATCCATTTTAATTGAGGATATGTTTGGCTATGGAGATTATTTGACTTTAGCATTTTCTGCATTCTTCTGATAGCATGTTTAGAATTTGAGGAGAGAAGTGGTTGTGGTGATGCAGAGAGGACATAGGAGGTGTTGCTGGCTGTTCCCCAGGGGGTCTCGCCAAGTAGCCTTCGCCACGTCAGTGTGTTGACTATGCTCTGGGGCGGGCCCTCAGCTAGATGGCTGCAAAAACAGGATATTTTTCAATAACTAAGAACATAGCCACCTCTTAAAGGTGAATTCATATTATCCCACCTCATGATACTAAAGTATGAAATCAAAATGGCAATTTATCAGCTGACATTGAGAAATACAGTACAATAAAGTGATGGTCTGTGCAGCCAGCAGTGTGTCCTCCTGTTGGTCATCCCTAGGCTAGACTCACTTAACGTAAAGTAATACAGCAATAATAACAGTAACAGTCACCGTTTAGTGGGTGCTTACTGTGTGTCAGGAGATGGGCTAACACTTTATATATTACTAATACATTAGATCATTAGTCCCACAGTAACCTCTCTAGTGTAGGTACTATCTTCATCTCCATTTTATAGAAAAGGAAATTAAGGCTCAGTTAAGTGAGTGACCTGAGGTAACGTGCCTATCTAGTGGGACTACGGTTTCTGTCTAAATCTGAAACTCTGATCTTAGACACTGTGCTGTAGTCCTCCCTGTTCTCATAGATCATTGACCTCTAGGGTTAGAATTGTCTTGTGTTTCTTGCCATCACCCCCACTGTTGGGATGTATGTGCCCTGGGCCTCACTGAGAATATAATATTCATTCTCTGTTGTTAAGTGCCAAGTTTTTCCAGCTGTCACAGGGTAGAAGAGCTTTTGTCTTTTCCCTTATTTTCCCTTTGGGTCAAAATACATTTACATTTTGCTAACCTTCTCCTAAAGCTGTGCCAGGAAGGAGCAACTGAGAAGAGAACCATTTAGAACGGAGGGGCATTTACAGTCTCACGTCTCTTTTTGCCTTGGTGTTCTGTGTAACATCCTGTGACAGACAGCCTGGGCGATAACCCGGAGAGAGCTTCTGTGACGTATAGATGGTTAGAACCTTCTACCTCTAAAATCTCTGGTCTTCTGATCTCTAAACCCTAAGTGGGAGAGCTGCCATTACTATTAGGATCCCTTGGGGATAAGTTTTCAGTTTGTGCTGAAGTGAATTGTTTCAGGATTAGATTTCCATTTGAAACATGTCTTTGTGATTGCTTTATATAGATCCTCGGAGCAGAACTCCCAAGCAGCAGCAGGCACTGCCTCTTCAGTTGTCAAGTTCACAGTCAGATTGGAAAAGTTGAACTTGAAGTTTCCTTCCTGTGGTGAAGCAGAGAGATACATATTACTCACATAATAAAAGCCATGGGCTTCAACCTGACTTTCCACCTTTCCTACAAATTCCGGTTACTGTTACTTTTTACTTTGTGCCTTACTGTGGTTGGGTGGGTCACCAGTAACTACTTTGTGGATGTTATTCAAGAGATTCCTAAAGCGAAGAATTTCATAGCTACTTTCCATAAGGTCGTGGCTCTAGGGAAGGAAGACGCTCTGACCAATGAAGCATCCATGAAAAAGACAGAACTTGACAGCTGCCCTGCTGTGTCTCCATATCTCAGTAAGCGCTTTCTTTTCTCCTTTTTATGTGTACTATGTCAACTTGTTATTAAAATATAACGTATATGGGTACTTCAAAAAGTCAGTGTAAAAAATAGAATTAAAAGATAACACAAGTCTTTCCATGACGTTTTTGAAGTACCCTCTTATGTACAGAAGAGTATAAAAATCAGAAGTGTACAAGCAGCTTGGTTAAGTTTCACAAAATGAACATACTTGTGTAAACATCATGTAAATTAAGAAATGGAATCTTACGAGAACCACAGTAGTTCCCATGCTTCTTTCAGTCACATCACTGGCCTCAAGATTCTAACACCATACATTAGATTTTTCCTGTTTTTGAATTTTACAAATTGGAAGCCTACGTTGTGTACTCTTATGTTTGGCTTCTGTTGGTCGACATTATTCTTTGTGAGATCTATTCCCATGGTTGCATGTAGTTATAGTTTGTTCATTCTCTTTGGTGTATGATATTCCATTCTATGAACATACCCAATTTTATTATCCATCTACAAAAGTCTCAACACACAAGAATAGGGTCCATTGATCTAGGCTTTTGGCTCTGCTCCAGGTATCTCTCCTCCTCCTCCTGGGACCAGTGGGCTAGCCTGGGAATGTTCTTCTCATGGCATTGACAGAGCACAAGAGCGCATGGAGGTGGAGAAATGCAAGCACATTCAAGCCTCCACTTGCATAACATGTGTTAGCATACCCTTGGCCAAAAGTATGGAGTCAAGTTGCAGGGATGAAGTTTTTCAATGTTATCTTTAGGGTTTATTTCTTAATTATGCTTTTTTTAAAGGAAAGCATTTGACAATATTTATTGTAGTATAATTTGATATAAAAAGATTTAATTTCCTCTGGATAGTCAGACTTCCCAGGCATCAAACCTGTGAAAAGCAGAAAGGAGCTTGGGGGGCAAGGGTAGAGAGAGGCTATTGTACACCAGCATTTGAAGAACCCAGGGCTTCCCCCATGACTCTCCTGGGCTTGTGCACCCCAGGATATATTTCTTAAATATGTTTTGACTCCTCTTTGATGTCTCGCCTTTCAATTAAATTAACGGTAAATTGGTTTTAGTGAACACAATAAATTTGAGAGGAAAAAACACTCAGTGTTATTTCTCTGATATCTTCATCTCCAGGAAATCAGAGTGCTTATAGTTTTCCAGACACTCCTGAGCCTTTTTACTTGTGTTGTTTCCTCTTTCCAGAATGCCTTTCCTTAATCCATGTCTGCCTGGTAGATTCCTGTCATCAAAAATCCAGCTTAGATGTCTCCTCTTTCAGAAAGGTTGCAGCTTGTAACTGTCCCAGCTAGAGTTCATCTTCTGTTCCCCCATGCCTGTTGTACCAGTGTCCTATTGTGCTGATCGCAGTGCGTTGTTCATATGTTTGCCTTTCTTCCTCGGGAGACAGTGCACAGGCAGCTCTCCTCATACGCTACAAGAGCTCTGTATGCGGTAGCCTTGGACTCTTCAGAGACTTGTTGCTTTTAGCTGAACAAGAAACTGCAGACCTTCTATCTTAGTCTGCTTGGGCTGCTGGTTTTATGGCATTTTTTTAATACCATAGACTGGGTGGCTTAAAGACATTCATTTCTCACAGTTGTGGAGGCTAGATGTCTGAGATTGGGTTCTTGGTGAGAGTGCTCTTGCAGGTTATGTCCTCATATGGCCTTTCCTTGGTGTGTCTGTCCACACAGAAAGACACACACCCACCCACCCACCCACCCACCACCACTTGCTCTCTTTATAAGGGCTTAACCCTCATGACCTCATCTAAACCTAATTACCTCCTCCCAAATGCCTCACCTTCGGCATGCCTGGTAGTGGGAGGAGGGGGTCAGTCCCTACCTCCATGCCTTAGGACCCCAGGTGGGCCCTGTGGCAGTGGCAGAGAGCCTGGTTGTGGGAGGAGGGGTTGGTCCCTGGCTCTATCTGTTTTTACATTCTAAGCTGTTGTGGAGCAGTTGGCTGGGAGGGAGAGAGTGGAAGGGGGGAGAGTGGGAGAAGGAGGAAGGAGGGGGGCATGGTTGAGTCTTATGGCACCCCCCTCATTCCTGCAGGGGAGACCAGGGGGCTTCCAGTGGTGGCTTGATCATTGCTGGGCTGAATGCAGATGTTGGTGGGGTATGGCTAAAGCCCTCAGCCCCCCACTGCCTTGGCTTGGGAGACCAGGGAGCTTCCAGCAGTGGTTCAGTGGTCATTGCTGGACTGGTTGCAGATGTTGGTGGGGTGTGGCTAAAGCCCTTGGCCCCCAACTTCCCTGGCTCAGGAGCCTGGGGTGCTTCCTGCAGTGGCTTGGTGGTCATCTCTGGGCTGGTTGCAGGTGTCGGGGGTCATGGCTGAAGCCCCCGGCCCTCTCCCCTCCCTGGCTTGGGAGTCCAAGGGGCTTACTGTCCTTCTAGGTTTTATGGGTGTTCTTTGGTGATGTTAGACCTTTACTGGTTAATATCAGACTTTGTCTCTGGTCTGTGGGTATTTTTGTTTTTTCTTTCAGTTCTGTGTTGGATTATTTGCTGTTCTCACCACTTAAACTCTGCTCTGGAACTAATTTGTTGTCCTTTGCTTACTTCTGAAATGGGGGAACTTCCTGTGGGGACCAGCACTTGAGCCCTGTAGTTGAGATAAATTGCTGCTTTGCTTTTGATTCTCTGGGGAAGTCTTCCTTACACTCAGGTTTTAATGGTTGACTTTGTAGGTACTTCTGGGTCTCATGAAGTCCGGTACACTTGGGTTGTGTAGAAACTCTGGTCTGGACCTGAGTCTTTTCAGCAAACTGCACCCCCTGCAGTTCTGTATTCCTGACCAGTCTCCACTGAGTGGGCCTGTGCTGATTGGAGGGCAGATCAGCTGTCCTTGCTATGCCCCAGTGTTTTCCCAGTGGGCTCGTCTCCCCCATTGCCCACACTCCAAACACTTCCTGTGGGACAGGCTGTGCGCTGGTCCCTTGTGGTGACTCACTGGCCTCTGAGTGGCTCCTTTTTTCTGTTGCTGGGCTGTGCTCCTTTCTCCTGTATGGGTCCACAGGAACCCTGTTAGTGGGCCTGCTGGCCTGAGGGCCACCAACGCCCTCCTCTCCCCTGCCCCCTCCAAGCAACTTCATCTGAAGGGCACAGCTGTGGCTTTTGCCAGCTCTTGCTCCATGTGCTCAGCAGTTCCAGCCTGGAAGCGGCTCGGGCTTGAAACGGTTGGAGCGGTTCTTTCTTTCTCTCATTGTGGCTTTTCTTGCCTTCGTGTACTCCATAGGTCTCTCCTCCTCTTCCCCTGAACGCTAGCAGTCCCAGCTTGGCTGTAGTTGTTTTTTAATAGTTGTGAATTGGTTGGTTTGTGGGAGAGAGTGATGCTGGCAATGTCTATTCCACCATCTTGACTGGAAGCCCCCTATATGTCAGTTCTTTTGCAGCCAGTAACCTTGGTCACATGAGGCTGTGGTTATAGTTTATGACTAAATGAGATTTTAAAGTGATAATAATAAAAGTTGACACCCATATAGTGTTTACCATGTGCCAGGAAATGTTCTAAGCATGGATTACTGCATGTAAGCCTCTGAACACTTTATGAGATAGCTCCTGCTACTGCCTGTGTCCTGTGTTTATTGTAGAAGGCCAGAACAAGCTCATTTTCAAACCAGATCTCACTTTGGAAGAAGTACGGGCAGAAAATCCCAAAGTGTATGGAGGCCGATATCACCCTGAGGAATGTAAGGCTTTACAGCGGGTTGCCATCCTCATTCCCCACCGTAACAGAGAGAAACACCTGATGTACCTGCTGGAACATCTTCATCCTTTCTTGCAGAGGCAGCAGTTGGAGTATGGCATCTACATCATCCACCAGGTAAGTGCGGGGCAGACCAGAGCCCTGCAAACTATCATCAAAGAAGAGATCTCTTGCCTCATTTATCCTTGAAAGGTGTAGAGGAAATTTTTGTCTCAGAGTGTGGACTTTTGGGACCAAGTTCTGGGAAATTTTACTGCTCTTAAATGAACCTCTGAGGGCCTTTTTTTTTTTGATGAGCCCTTCCATGTTAGCCAATGACTGCCCTATGATTTCCTTCTGAGGTTTACTGGCCCCGTGTGTTTCCTTCTGTACTTGCTATACACTACATGATGAGATGTTGGAATTGCTTTTCATTATTGAGCATGGCTATTCAACGGGGATCTAGATGGACGATTTGACAGAATACTGTGTTAGCCATGGAGTTCTATGACCGTCTCCACATTTCTGCCTTTAACTTTGCCACTATTTATTATGTAAAGCATGTTATGTTTAATTTTCACTTTCTTGATTCACTTATTTGGTTTCCAGAAGAATGATTTAGTAGGAACACAGTATAACTATAGGCTGCTTTTAAAGAGTTTAGTTCTGAGGTCAGTGGAGTGGATGATTGAAGATGCCTTTAATTGGCATTAAAGTTTATTGAAAGAAAAATAAGGCATCAGTTTAAACATCCATGTCTAAGCCTTTTATAATTATCCTGGGCCACCCAAATAATTCCCTTTCAGGTTCTTACAAATTCTAAGAGTGTAAGCAAAATCATTAACTACTTATTTAATGTTGGTTATAATTGGTGATATTTGTTTTAGATAGAACTTTTCACAACTCAGGAGATCAGCTCTGCGGTGTATCCTTTTAATAAACTGAAGCTCTTGAAAATCAGTCTGTATCTATGCCCATTTTTTAGTACTTGAAACAATTCTACTATTGTTTTATAATTATCTTTGTTGGTCATCAGGGCTATGATTTATTTGATTCTGAGTTTTTACTCAGGGCAGCAACCCACAAGATACAACACTATTTTTTATGAATAGAAAAATATGTCTGCTTTGTGTTATTCTTTTCAGGAAAACACTGTGGTAAGTTTTGAGAACTGCTTGTACTTTTGTTATGATAAACTGTTTATCGAACGAATTTATTTCTACTGAATTTGATCCAAGCAGACATGAAAAAAATCAAAACTGTAAAATCTTTTTCATACTGTAGCTTTGGTCATATTACAGATCAAATTGTGTTTTTTTCTTACCCAGTGACAAATCTCCCTCCACTGTGAGGATTAGATTTTGCCATTAGTCTTATAACAGGATTCTCTTACAGTAATTTCCAAGAAACTTTTAAGTAGCTGAAAAATGTTAGCAATAAACTTCTCTGTTTATAGGTCAAGATTTCTTGATCCTTTCTGGCAAATTATTAACTAAATCTCTTGGAAGCTTAGTGTAAATTTGTAACAGAGAGTAAGACTGGAATCAGCTGGGGGTTGAACAGTGAAGCAGTAATACTAATTGACATGTCTAGTATGTAGGAAGTACTACTTGGCATGACTAGCATGTAGTTTTGTATGGAATAAATAAAGTTATTTTTTAAAAGTTTTGAGTTTTAAAAACGTTTTTAATTGTGGTAGAACACTGAACATGCGATCTATCCTCTTATTAAATTTTAAGGGTACAATACATTATTGTTGATTGAATTATTTTTATTTGAATTTTAAAACTGTTTAAAAATTTTTGTGTGGTAAAATACACAGATAACATAAAATTTATCATCTTAGCCATTTTTTCACTTCTATTTATTTACGTTTACCATCTTAATCATTTTAAACTATACAGTTTAGTAGTATTACGAATATTCACACTGTTTTACAACCAATCTCCAGAACTTTTTAATCTCGCCAGACTGGAACTCAGTACTGTTCTCCAGATTTAAAGAAATGCTTTTAAGTTATGATATATAAGTATGTGTGAAGCATAAAGAAACAACCAAATGGTGTTTTATTGTTATTGCATCTACTTTGTCACATCTTTATGTCACAAGTGTGGTCTTGCACATCAACAAGAATAATAGCAACTTCTGAATCCAAACTGAAGAGGGGAACATGGTGAAACCTTACCTCAGGAGCTTTTCTGTTTTAATTTCCATATCTTTCTAGGCTGGTAGTAAGAAGTTTAATCGAGCCAAACTTTTGAATGTGGGCTATCTAGAAGCTCTGAAGGAAGAAGACTGGGACTGCTTTATATTCCACGATGTGGACCTGCTGCCTGAGAATGACTTTAACCTTTACACATGTGAGGATCAGCCCAAGCACCTGGTGGTTGGCAGGAACAGCACTGGGTACAGGTAAGGCAGCTCTGCTGTTGGGTTGCTTAAGTTGAGAAGCTTGCCTGTTGTAATCAAGGCTGTGTGGAACACTGTCCAGAGTGTCTTAGGAAAATGACAAACAGGAAAAATGTCCCATGATATATCACTTAAAGTTCAAAACAGGAATTAGAGAATGTAATAAGGAAAAACATCCTACATCAACTGCAGCAGAGAGTCACAAGGACAAGGGAAGTAACAGGAGAGAGAATATAACCCAGGCATTGCAGGTGGTGGCCAACCTCCCCCCAGTACCTGCATGGTGGGACTTTTGCCGCTTTCCCACACTTAGTAGAACTCAAGTAACTTACCTGTCTATCTCTGGCATGCCCTACTAGGAGGCCACAAGATGGTGCCCCTTAGGTCAACTGTTAGGACTGTTGTGACATCCCTTTCCAGACTGTGGCCTCTTTCCAGAGTTCTGGGGAGAGGAGGGGTGGGGTATTTCCACTGAGTATTCTGCTCAGGGGCCAGGACGCCCAGGACAAGTTCCTTTCTCTAAGAGGTGCTGTGAGGAGTGCTAGGTACAATCATCTCTGTCTTCATTCCCTGCCCCCTCCACCACCCAGAAGAGGCAAAGCCGCTTTTTAACCTCGTGTTATACCAGCTCCTATTCAAGCACAACTGAGGAAAAATAGTGACCAAGAAAATGTCTCTGCAGATGAAACTCTATATTGGCTTACATGTGTGCACACTTACCTGTCAGATTCCCTTAAGCCCTGCCACCTGGGTGTGCTGGTATCTGATCTGTGGGGCTTACTGAGCTGGTGGGCATGAGACCAGTTTGAATAAGGCAGAGCGCCTGCCTTCCAAGAGCTCCCTGTTGAGTGTGGTGTGGGGAAACAGGTAGCTGCAGTGGAGTTGCATTAATTTTGCATTTCTGCAAATACAGCTATACACACTTGGTAATGAGGGAGAGAGAGGGGCAGATGGAGGGAGGGAAGGAAAAGGAAGGAGAGGACTATAAAAGTACAGAGCAACACAGGAGATTCCACCAGTGTGTACTCTGAGTGTGAAATGGAAACTGAATCTCTTGATACCTCACTTGGTCTTGGCTTCCGTGTCGCTCTTACTGTGCCCGTCTCTCACTTTGGACTATTTAACAGAACTCAAGTTACATTGACTGTAGGTGATTTTTGCCTCAGGTACTGACTTTAAACCCAATCCCTATAATCTGTGGGATATAAACAACACCTAGAATAAGCTACGATGAGTGAGAGCACAGTGTCTCTAAGAAACATCCAAAGATGCTGCTTAGCAGAGTTCCAAAACGTGTCAGAGAGTGTGGCGTGGTTTGGGGGAAAGCCCAAGTAGTCGATTGGTATTCTAGAATGAATGTCTGGGAGGAGAGGCAAGAGATGAGGCTGGGAAGGGCCAGCTTATGCAGGCCTCGTTTAGTGTGATGAGGAGTTTGCGTTTCCTAAGGAAGGGGACCAGGAGCTGTTGAAACATGGTTACAGCTGGAGAATGACAGGAGAAAGCTCAGTTCAGCTGGTCTTTAATGTATTGGATGGAGCAAGGCAGGAGGGGAGAGATGCCACATCCCTGAATTAGGGAGGAGGCAGTGGCATCAGAGGGCAAGGAGAAAATCATAGCATTTTTCTCTTTGGGGAAACCTGATCTTCGGATCTGAATCTTATTATCTAGAGGTTTTGTTTTCTGGTTTCTTTGAGCCACTTCTGCACTGAAGAAAGCAGCATATCATGCTTGGCCACCTTAGTTTTTTCAGAAGCATGTCTCCATCTGTTCACTTTTTGTGTAAAGTTAAGATATCACTATCTACAACACAGAACACCTGTACTTCAGACACTTGGCTGTACATAACCTTAAATTTCCTGTTGTCCAGTTCTGTCTATACATTTGGTTGCCCAGTTCATTTCTCACCAATCATACAGGATTGTTTTAAGAACAAGCCTTTTATTGGGATTCTGGATTTTATCTTTATATTAAGCCGGACCGTAAGAAAGCTGAGTTCTTGGGCATTCCTTCCGAACATTGATTTTGACTTATACTTTGGTGGTCATGATCGTGGATTTCATCAAATGCTACTCACTCTAAGGAACAGCCCATGTATGAATCTTGCTATTTTAACTTGCTTTTGTAAATGGCCAGACATTTCTTTCATAACTACATGTCAGAAAGCCCTGTCTCTCTTGGGTAACCAACAGGTTTTCTTAATTTGCATCTGGTAATTGACTGTGTCTCCCCTTTTGATCTGGATTTAAGAACCTCTGAGCCAAATCCATGGCCCTCTTTTAGAAATTGAAAATCATCTTATTTGCAGATCAGAGCTGGAATGTACTGGTATTTCCTATCTCAGTCTTCTATTCTGGTCCTGGTTTGTCATTTACATTTTTCTGTTTTATTGTGTGTATCATGTAAACTGCCTCATCTTTTATGGCCAGGGAGAGGCATACATAAGTAATGTAGGTCTTGTCTCCCCCACCACTCCTGCAACCTTCCCTTAGCTACTCTGGGCAAAATTCCTCTGGTGTCTGCAAGTTCAGTCGCAGGCAATCACATGTCTGACTCCTGCTGGTAGCTGTGTGTCACTGCATCACAGAGCTTAAATCAGCACACACTTCACTGTCACAACTTCCCCATGAGTATAAGTACAAGAAATGTTTTCACTTTACACACATCAGAGGGGAGATGTTATAGTAACTTGCCCCAAGTGTCTCAGAGTCTAATGAAGCCAGATATAAATCTTGTTTATCTCTGAGTATGGGTCAGTGATAAAGCTCTGACTGGACCTGCCTGTGGCAAATTTTACTGCCAAGAATTCCTTTGGTACCTGTCCACTTTCTACTGTTATTTTATGACTACATTTCCTTCACTCTTGGCTTTACAGCCTTTAAAAATTAAACTTCCTGGGCCAATGAAATATTTATGCTTTTCCAGATAAGAAGATAAACCAAAAGCAATGATCAATAAATAGGCATCTGAAAAATCATCTAATAGGCGCCTGAAAAATCCTTAACCTTTCTTTCTGACTTGTCTCCTCTTGCTCTTCCCCACTCCAGCTAACCTGGTCTCTAGGTGGACCTCAGATAGCCTGTGCTTTTTCTCCCTTCTGTGCTTTTTCTCATGGAGTTCTGGCCATGAGGGGATCCCACATTTTTCTGCTTTTCTGAATCCTTCCAGAAATTCAAATCCTGCTGTGGCAGCGTCTCCTTCCTCAGAACCCTGATAACACTCCCTTGTCTTGTTAGATAGGGCAGTCCATGTGTTGCAGTGTTGAGCCAGCTGTCTTGCATGTGGTGGATAATGGTGGTAGATCACTGCCAAATCACCAGTGCTGATTCTTTTTTTTATTATTATTAATATTATTATTTTTTTTACATTCTATGATGTTGTGAAGCAGTTGGGAGGGGGAGAAGGGAAAGGGGAAGGAAATAGGATGGAAGGAGGAAGGAGGAGGCGGGGGGTTGAGGCTTGTGGCGCCCCCCTCATTTCCACAGGGAAGTCCAGGGGGCTTCTAGTGCTGGCTTGGTCATTGCTAGGCTGGGTGCAGATGTCATGGGGGTGTGGCTAAAGCCCTAGCCCCCCACCATCCCAGCTTGGGAACCTGGGGCACTTCTTGTGGCAGCATGGTAACATTCACTGGGCTGGTTGTGCATGTCAGGGAGATGTGGCCAAGGCTCACAGCCCCCGTCTGCCCTGGCTTGGGAGAGCACAGGGAACTTCCTGCAGAGGCTCTGTGGTCATCACTGGGCTGGTTGCGAGTGTTGGGGGGGCATGGCTGAGGCCGTTAGCCCACCCCAACCCCGGTGTGGGAGAGCCTGGGACACTACCTATGGCAGCTCGGTGGTCATTGCCGGGCTGGTTGTGGGTGTCAGGAGGCATGGCCTATTGCTCGTTGGTGCTTGGCAGGTTATGTGTGGGCAGTGGTTCTACTCAGTGTCTTGATGAAGCTGGTGGTCTTCAAGTAATTAAGAATCCCTTCCCAGCCAAGCAGATTCTGATAACCAAGGCAAGTCACTGCTAATAAATGTCTTGGTCAGTAACAGTCACCCTCTAAGCACTTTATTTCCTTTTGTTTTAGGTTGTAAAAATAACATTTCTCAGAATTTTAGGTTGGGAGTAAATAAGTGATGAGTTATTTCTGTTTGGGTTAAACAAGGTCCTCAGTCTGTACTCAGAACGAAACAAACAGCTGAACCACAAATCAGGTTTTGGGAAGTCACCTGTTACATGGCAAGTGTTTATGTATTTAATTGATCTTTCCTTTTGGTTGTTCTTCTTATCTGGAAAGGCATAAATGTTTAATTTGTCCTGGAATACTTAGAACTAAGGTTTAAGTTAGAAGCCCTTTAAATATTCACATATTTTTACTCAATAACATCCAAGTATTATGCAACCTTCATTTGCATTTCTGAATGGTTACAGTTTCATACCTAAGGTATATCTTTATTTCTCAGATTTGCTAATTTGTTCACTGATAATACATAAGATTCCTTTATGACTGGGAGATGCTCTCTATGACCTCCTGATCTTCCTCCTGGGTTTTTCTTCTCTTTCCACTTTACTTGTTTTAGTATACACCATGGTTCCACCCTCTGTGCTCATCTCTTCTTACCCACTATGTTGCTTGTTCCTGTGCCTTCAAGTACTGCCTGTTGACAGCTTATTTCCAAAGCCACACCTGTAGCCACTCCTCTCTTCTGAGCTTGGTCCCTCTATCCTTTTGCCTGCTGGCAAAAGCCCCAAGGATATCTCAAGTTCAGCTTGTCCAAAACATAGATTTCTGCCTTCCTCTCAAAACCTAATTATTGTTCTGTACACCCTGTATTCACAAGAGGCACTATCCTCTACATAGTTGCACAAGCCAGGAACCTCAGTGTTGTTGAGGTGTGTTGGGTTCTCCAGGAAATAGACTTTGAGGTGGAGATTTGCATGCCTAGAGATGGAGATTTGCATACAGAGTGTGTACACACAGTGTGTGCAGGAGATGTCTCCTGCTCTCTGCCCCTCCTCCCACCAAAGAAGTAAAAGTGAAAAAAGCAGTTTTCTTAGTCTGTTTTTGTGTTGCTATAACAGAATACCTCAGACTGGGTAATATATAAAGAACAGAGGTTTATTTGGCTTATGATTCTGGGACAGCTGTATCTGGCGGGGACCTCTGGCTGCTTCTACTCATGGTGGAAAGCAGCAGACAGCCGGCGGGTACAAGCAGATCACATGGCAAGGGAAGAAGCTGGCTTGGGTGGGGGGGTGGGGGGGGCTGTGTGCCAGGGTCTTTTAAACAGTCAGCTCTCATGGGAACTAATAGAGCAAGAACTCGCTCATTACTGCCCCCACCTAGGGAGAGCACTAATCTAATCATGAGGGATCTGCCCCTGTGACTCAAACTGTCACACTGGCGATCAGATTTCCATGAGTTCTGGGATGACAATACATCCAAACTCCATCATTCTGCCCCTGGCCTCCCAAAACTCATATCACTCTTACATACAAAATACAATCATTCCATCCCAACAGTCCCAAAAGTCTTAGCTTGTTCCAGTACCAGCTTAAAAGTCCAAAGTCCAAAGTCTCATCTGAGACTAAAGGCAAAACTCCGTCCAGCTGTGAAACTGTAAAAACAAATTTATCTGCTGCCAAGATACTATGGTGGAACAGATATCGGGTATACTTTCTCACTCCAAAAGGGAGGAATAAGCCAGAAGAAAGGAGAAATAGGTCCCAAACAAGTCTGAAACCAAGCAGGTGAGACATTAAGTCTTAAAGCTCCAAAATAATCTTCTTTGATTCCAAGTCCTGTATTGTGGGCACTACTTTGTTCAGTTCTTGATAATCTACAGTCATTCTCCAGGTATCATCAGGCTTTTTCACTGGCCATACTGGAGCATGAAATGGGCTATGAGCTGGATGAATAATGCCAACTTTCTCTAATTCCAATATAGTGGCACTTATCTCTGCATGTCCTCCTGGTAGGTGATGTTGCTTTATATTAACTACACGTCTTGGCTTGAGTTAACACCTGTGGGTCATATTTAGCATATCCTCGTAACACAGGCTTTACTGTCCATATTCGCCGCCGAAACTCTCCAACTGTTGTTTGCAGGTGCAAATCATAAAGTACATCCATACCCAAGGTGTATTCAGCTACAGGGGATATATATGTGTGTATATATATACACATACAGTATATACACGAGGAGGTAATCTTCCTATGCCCGATGGCAATGACACAGCTGTGACCTCAGTAGTATGTCCTCCATAGCCATCTATATGAACTGTGGCCCCTGGAAACTTATCTGGATTGCTATATATCAGACTACATTCTGCACCTGTATCCACCAGTGCCTAAACATGCTGCACATTTGTCCTCGAGCAATATATTGCCAATTCAACATCAGTCCTCTGATCCTTGCCTGGCCCCAAAAGACGAGTACCTTGGCCTGCTCCCTAATCGAAATGGAACAGTTCATCTGCCTCCTCGGGAGCAACCAAAAAGTCCTTTAAATCCACTGAGCGTAACTTGGCTACCTGTTTCCAGATGTTTGGTGAAATGCTATTCAGGAAACAATTGCTGCCACAAGGCAAATAGGACTGCATTTGGCTGCCAGTCAATTTTCTTTTTATCAACTCCTGCTGCAAGCAAGTCAAGCCACATCTGCTTATGGCTAGTCTTGCTTGGTCCCTTTGGGATAAAATACAGAGTATTTCTTGGGGGTTTGGTCGTAGCCACCTCTCAGATCCCTTTTGCTTATCTTCTATCCTCTTCTTCACCCAAGCTGGCTACCATGGTCATTACCTCATGTATAGGACGACCAACGTATGGGGCCAGTATGGCCATCAGTGACCCAAAGGACGTTGACAGGGCATATTGCAGCACTATGTCTCTCATGCTGCCTGTAAAGTTCTCATCATCCAGGCCACGAGTGTTCACATTAAACATGGACTGCCACATCCCCAGCTCCCGAATTATTTGGACCAGCTCAGCATACATTTGCCATTTACTAACAATCTTGGGCAGTTCTCCAGCATTTGCCCACACAGTTCGGGAAGCTGCATTCACCCAGTCCATCAAGGAGTGATTACCTCACCCTTGTGCATATCTGCGGCTATTCTGTAGCCACTGCCTCAGGGATGGGTGTATGGTGATGGAGGCCAACTTCTGCACTTCCTCACCAGAACAAATTACACTATCCAACCCTAGGTCCCATAACCGCAACAGCCAAGCAGCCAGGGTCTCCCCATGTTTCTGCCTGAACTGTCTCCCCAAGTCAACCAGTTCAACCTGAGTATACATGGGTGGTGAACCGGGTCACCTGTGGATTGCCCATCGGTTATTTGTCCAGTCCCATAGGCTGCTCATGTTTCAATTTCTTGTGCACAGCAGGTCGTGCCTGGAGATAGATGCATGGTTTCCCCCAACTCACCACTGGGTTGGTCGTCTTCCCTGGTGTGAGAGGCAGGAGTGGCCAGTCACCGCACGTCATCCTCCAGGATAATCATCCTTGCTTCCAACAATTCTGCTTTCTGCCGCAAATCTTGATCAGTTTGCAGCATAGTGATCAGCATCCAGGGTCCAATCAGCAGAAAAGTGGCCACTGGGCACCACATGCTCAAGGATTGCTACATTCCCTCTCCTTCCCAAGGGGTTTTGCGTTGTAGTACCTGGTCTATGCTGCCTTGCAGTACGGTGTGCAGCAACCAGATCCCGGTTAACAGGAAGGTGGCCATAGGGCAGAGCATATTCACTAGTAGCCACATTTCCTCCTTCCAAGGGCTTTTGGCTCCTGTACCTGCTCAGAATCCTGTTGCAGACTAGGCCAATTGTCTGGCTCTTTTACTTGCCCGTAATCCTGCCGACTGGACCAATTGTTGAGCTAGGGCTGGGTCTGGAGCTCACAGACCCATCAAGCCCATTCACAGACTGGGTCACAAACCCTTCACACACCAGGCTGGGTCACAAGACCCCTCACACGCAGGTCTATGAGCTAGGTAACTGGCAAACAGGTCCCTGGAAGCTGTAGGTTGGAGAACAAGGCCACGTGTGGTGGATACCGGAGGCAGATGCCAGCCAGGCTGTGGTGCTGCACATGTGCACTAACTCCACCCAGCCACACACAATTTGCTTACAGAGAATGTGCTGCACCGCCCCCCCCCCCCAACTGGATGGGCAGGCAAGGGGGCCTGATTAAATTATTCTGTTTTCCCAACAATGAGGGATTTGCCCCTGTGACTCAAATTGTCACACTGGGGATCAGATTTCCTTGAGTTCTGGGAGAACAGTACATCCAAACTCCGTCACAAGTGTATTCATCATGACACTCATTTGTGCTGAACCTGGATGCAGCCTCAGAATCCTTAACCCAGTGCCTCTAGCAGCCATTACCATTCATTGGATTGGCACATGAGAGAGAGATCTGTCATCCAGATCTGATGTTGTGGTGCACTTGTACAAGTATCTCTACAGACCTCTGCACACAAACTGTTAACAGGTGGGTGGCACCTTGCTTAGTGAGCAGAGGTAAGCACTTGTCTAAACAGATGGACGAAGGCAAGACAGGGAGGGCCAGGAGTGTTGGGAGGTGGATGGCAAGGAGGAGACGATGGGAGGAAGTATGTGGTCTTTAAAGTGTTCCTAGAATGCCAGCCCTGAAACCAGAGACCTCTGAAGTGTCTGTGGAGAACACAAGGGCTTTGTATTAATGTTCTCGCCTTTTCTCTCCTCTCTTTTGCTCCAGGCTACGTTACAATGGATATTTTGGGGGTGTTACTGCCCTAAGCAGAGAGCAATTTTTCAAGGTGAATGGATTCTCTAACAACTACTGGGGATGGGGAGGCGAAGACGATGACCTCAGACTCAGGTGAACAACAGAGAAAGGTCCCCCTTCACGGGGTTCTGCTATCAGTGGTGGATCTGGAAACTTGAATTTATGAATAGTTCCTATAGATGCCAGTGCAGCAGGTCACCAGGCTGCAGATTGGGGTTTAAAGTGTGGTGGGGGTGGGGGGAGGGCAGGATGGCCCAAATGGTTCTTTGCAATTGGCAGATTAGAAGTGATAGAGGGTGGACTCTTCTTGGCTCCTGAGCATTTGGGGTTTAGAAGTATTGGTGGAGGACTCTGTGGTCTTGTCAGTGAGAATTACTTCCTGAGACATGGTTCTGCCAGTGAATGAGAAGTCCCAAACTGCAGGGTGTCTGCAAAACTGGCGTGTGATAACAGGCTTGGAGAAGCACCTGTTATCAGACCCTAGGGGATGCAAGCACAATTCCCAATGCCTAGAGCAGGGAGTGCCCACAGCCTCTGAGGAGCTGCACACCAAAGCAAGCAAAGACGTCCTTTCCTCCGTGTGCATTAGCCAGCCCCGCACACTGGTAGCCTGAGCCCCAGGCCTGACTCTGGGCTGTTGGCATTGACCCTCAGAATCTCTGGGATTACTCTCTCCTCTCTCAGCTTCCTCCCCTGAACTTGGGTTTTGTGGCCAGATAGTTACAGGTATCTGTATCTCCCCAAAATAAGTAATTATTCAAGAGCCTAGGGCTGGTGTCTTCAGGCTTGTAATTACAGTGTCTTTCTGGCTGTCAGGAGACCCCCTTCTCTTCTGCTATTGTCTCGTGGAAAGGAAATTTCTAAGCTGGAGTTCTGAATTAATAGCATAGACTGTCAGAAATATTCTCTTTTTTCAGTGTAAAGAATCCAGGGGCTCCATGCTAGTCTTGTTCCCATGTCTAGGCTGAGAGATGAAATGTTTCTGGCAGGAGGGCATGGATTTCCCTGACCAAGGGCTCCACAGAGATGGCTATAATGGTGGCCCCCTCGCTGTCAGCAACCTGTCTGGCGGTAGCTCATGAACTGGACAGAGAGTGCCTGCTAAATTGCAGGCAAGCATAGCAAAGGGTAGAAAAAAACATACCGATCATCTTCCCCAATCCACTTCACTGCCAGCTGGGATGATTAGTAGAATTTTGTACTAATCATATCTTCACTGTCTTTTTTCTTGTTGCCCCTTAGCTTCAAGGTAGAGGGGAGCCCCAAGTTTTGCTTTCATTTCATAAGAACATCATGACCTTCAGAATGGTTTCTGACTAATGTTATGGATCAGCCAAATGATTCGGACATAAAAGTTGATTGAGATTTATTTACTAAATATTTACTTACCTGTGCAACAGGCAGCGTCCTTCTATGCACTTATGTAATTCATTACAGTTTGCAAAGCATATTATGTGCAAATTATGTCATTTGAGTCTTTCAAAATCAACTCTGTATGATCATTTCCATTTTACAGATGAGGAAACTGATACTTGGAATAGTGAAATGACTTACCAAGGTTGTAAATAGCAGAGTCTAGATTTGAACCTAGGTTTGTGGCTTTAAAACTTGTGACCTTAAGTGGTCATTCCTTTCTTTGTTAAAAGAAGGCAACACTAAGTAAATTAGATTTCCTAAGAGGCTTGATTCTCCTCTTCTTCAGGACATCTTAAAATAAGTACTTTGTATGTTATTTTTGAAAATAACTATAAATTGGCATATCTCCTTTGTACCCCAATAGTAAATGTTCTTTTATGGGCTTTATTGCTTGAGGTCCCACCATTATAAGAAAATCTGAAATTTGAGAAGTTTTTCTTATTTTTTTAATACCCAAGTAATCCAGCTATATGTGATTCTGTGTGTGTGTGTTAAGTAGTGTAAGAATTCTTTTTAAAAAATTTTTATTATTTATTATTAGCATATTCATTATTACAAATCATGATTTTTCTTCTACTCTTTACCTGGCCTGTTACTCCCTAAACCCCTTTCTCCTTCCCCAGCATCTTTAGTATACTTTGAAGTGCTTAGTGGTAGAGAAGTGGGATAATGTTTTTTTTTTTTTTTTAAATCTCCTCTGTTATTTTTCTAGGGTTGAGCTCCATAGAATGAAAATATCCCGGCCAAACCCTGCTGTGGGTAAATACACAATGATCTTCCACACTAGAGACAGAGGCAATGAAGTGAATATAGAACGGTAAGTCCTGGATTCATGTGCCTGGCAAGCTGCCTACCTAGTCTCCCCTGTCAGGAAGGATTATGCTGAATTCTGTCATATAAGCTAGTTCATTTTGTTAAAAGATTTTTATTAAGGAAAATTTCAAACAGACACAAAGTAGAGAGAAGGGTGCATCAAACCCTCACTTGAACAGCTATCAACTCATGGCCTCTCTTCTTTCCCCTCATTTTTTTCTCCTCCCCCAATGGATTATTTAGAAATAAATCACAGATGTCAGAGTGTTTCATAGAATGTGACTACTTGAGTACGTATCCTTAAAATATAAGAAGTCTTTAAAAAAAAAACTAAACTAAAATTAAAAATATTTTCTTAATATCATCAAATGTCCAGTCAGTGTTCAGATTTCCCCGATTATCTCATAAATGCTTTTTAAAAAAGCAGACGGTTCATTCAGATCTGAATCTAGACAAGGTCCACACTTTGTTTGGATGGTCTCTTTTAATCTGTAGGTTTTCCCTCCCCTTCTCCCCCCCCCCCCCCCCTTGCAATGTATTTGTTTAACAAACCAGGTCATTTGTCTGATAGAATTTCTTACATTACAGATTTTGTCAATTGCATCCTGGTAGTATAGCTTAATATGTTCCTCTGACCTCTGTATTTTCTTGTAAACTGGGAATTAGATTTCTCTAGATTTCTGGAGGCTTGAACAGGTTCCGGATACATTTGGGGACAAGAATACTTCACCGATGGGCTTGTGTACCTCCTCTTGTATCACAACAGGAGGATGTTATGTCTGGTTGTATCTTTTTTGTTATGTTAGGATTGATCTGTGGGTTCAGGTATTATCAGCCAAATCCACTCACTGTGAGATTCCCCATCAGTTTTTTACCTAATGATTTTAGCAGCCATTAATGCTCATTTCCTAAATTTATTATTTAATTAGGGGTTGCAAAATTGTAATATTCTATCACTCCTTCCACATTTATTAGATTTTTCTACAATGAAGTACTTGCCTTCTTCATTTATTTGAGTACTCTAGGGTACAGTTCTTAGAGAGGCAGAATAAGGGAAAGAATCAAGCACAGATAGTCATTTTTCAGAACAATGAGTTGGTGTTCCCTAGCATCCTTAAGGATATAGTTAGTATTTATTTTATTTTTTGATACTCGAGTTGTCTCATCTTTGGCCAATGGGGTTTTTTTCAAGCTGTCTCTGCAATCAGTTAACATAACTGCATTAGTCTTGAGAGCTTCTTTCTCTGTGCTCTGGTGTGACGAGATGTTCTAGGCTCACCTTGTACTTTTCCTGCCTCAGTAATTGGCCCTTTCAGCAAGGAATCCTGGCAGATAAGTCAATTTTTCATGGGGCTGTGATTGAAGAATCTGTATTTCTTTGTTCTGATTTTTTTCCCCTAAATTTTAAAACAGTGCTAAAGGGCTTTTAGCCCTTTTGCTAAAAATCTACATTTAAAAATAATATTAAAAGGCTTTTAGCTCAATATTAAAGGGCTTCGTTAGAGTTTATATTTAGAACAATATTAAAAGACTTAGCTCTTTTTTAGAGTCTAACAGTCTAACAAAGCAGCTCTTTCTATTTTCTGTGTCTTTCTAGTCTTTGTTCATAGGTATTCATTTTTCTCTTTACATTTAAAAAATTAATTATTGAATAGATACAAAAGAATGCTTACAAATTGTATAAAAAGTATGAAAATTCTTGATACTGTGAGTGGTGGTATCCTTACCCCCAATTTGTGTCCATCACCTTTGTGGCACTCCCTGATCCCATATCCACCCTCTTCCTGTCCCCTGTCCCTAATGCTTTGGTGAATTTTTGTGATAATGGTAATTTTTTCTGTTGTTTCTTGGTTTCCCATATGTTTGTATCCCTAAACAAAAGATTTTCGTTTTGCATGTTTTTTAACTTTACGTAAATGAGATCACACTATATTTATTCTATTATGACTTTATTTTGCCAACATTATGGTTCTGATCTCCATCCATATTGCTGCATGTAATCAAAATTTGTTTTTCACTGCTAAAAAAACTAGGGACCTATTCCTGTCACTGCGTACTCCTCTTCTCAGATTCTGCAGCTCCAGCCACACTAATGCCTTCTTCAAATGTATCCTGCTTTTTGTGTATCTATTCATCTTGCCCAGGGTGGTCTCTCTACCTGGAGTGTCCTTTCCTTAACCGTCTTCACTTAGTCATTTTAAGCCTTATTGAAATTTGCCTTCTCTATGACCCCTCCGCAGACTCCCTCATTAAGTTGGGTGCCCCTTCACTCATCCTCATCTACATACATTCTGACTGTTTGTTGAGACTCTTGTGAGAGTTGTGTACTCTCCCCGCCTACAGACACAAAATTTTCCCAACATTGGAAGATTCAGAGATTCCCTCAAGCTCATCCAAGGATCTGTTAGCATTGGATGACACGTGTCACATGTATCAGTGTCACCTGTACATCCTTCTGTCCTGTAGGCTGGCGTTCACTGAGTGCATCACTGGTTCCCAGGGCCTTACGTGGGCTCTGACACGTGAATACATGTCTGTCATTGATGTCTGTTACCTTTGATGGGGAAAAGAAACATTTTTTGCAGTAGGAAATCCAAGAGGTACAATAATTTACAAAAATACATTTGTGACATTTAGGGGAAGGTCAAAAAACAACGGAGACATGGCAAATTCTTGTTTTGTCATTCACATTTATTCTTTTTGTCTTTAGGATGAAGCTCTTACACCAGGTATCACGAGTCTGGAGAACAGATGGCTTGAGCAGTTGTTCTTACAAATTACTGTCTGTGGAACACAATCCTTTGTATATCAATATCACAGTGGATTTCTGGACTGGTTCATGACCCTGGATATTTTGGTGACATTCAAAGAACTGATGATTTGATTATGATAATTTTGGCCTGGAGACTTCCCCTAGTAACACACATTAAGAACTTGTTGCAGCTAGTTATTGGGCTGAATTTTTCCTTTTAGTATTTTGTTAGCAGAGCTCCTGATGATACAGAATGTAAAACACTGTAACAAGACAGCTTTCTTAGTTGTTTTGATCAAGAGAGTTAAATATAAGAGAGTTGTAATATAGATACTTGAAGGACTAAATATAAAAGGACGACTCAAAGGATATAATGAAGGTTGCTTGAGAACTCTGGCCGAAGATTTATTGAAATTTGAAGTGATATATTATGGGATATAAGGCCACCAGAAATAAGATTGCTGAGTGTCACGGGGACCCAGAATTTTTCTCAGCCAAGGTACGAAGATGTTTTTCTGTTACTCATTTATCCTGCACAGTCATCTGTGAAGCAGTGGGTCCCAGGTGAGAAGAGGGCCACAGAAGAGGGGAGAAATGGTGAAGAATCAAGATGCCATGAACTTGATTTTTTCTTTTTTTTTTGGCGACTGGTTGGTACGGGGATCCGAACCTGTGACTTTGGTGTTATAAGGCTGTGCTCTAACCAACTGAGCTAACTGGCCAGCCCGAGATGCAGTGATCTTGGGAATGAAGAGGTGGCTGGAGGACAGAGTGGCAGATGGAGAGGCAGCAGCCGTGCTGGTCACTGCTGCTCCTGCTGCTCTGCGGTGGGTACCACCTGCCCAGATATGCCTTCCAGTCACAGCCCAGTAGAGAACACATTGTCTACTAGTTTTTACAGCATTTTTGTAAAATGATTTTGTACCTGTAGGATATGAATTAGCAGTTTACAAATTATGTATTAACTAATAATATATCTATAAAATACCTCTAGTAAAATATGAAAAAGCTTTGGGTACTCAAACCTGTTTTTTACTGTTATTGGAGGCCTACAGGTGTATTCATTTCAGAATCCATAATTCTAAACAGCTTGAAAACAGAACAAATGAAACAAATCTCCTGTCTCTCATCCTTCCGTTCCTCTCCCCTGTTCTTGTGTGCGAGCTCCTTGGACAGCCAGCTCCAGTGCTGTGGTAGGCACCTCTGTGTCTCACTCCCTGGGCCTCTCTGTTTCTGTTCTCTTCATCCTCTTGTGCCTCCTCCTGTCCCATAATCAATAGTGGGAACAGCAGAGCCGGCCTCAGGCACACCTGATTGGTTATGGGACAGGAAGGGGTGGAGCTGGCCCTTTAGGGGCCCTGGGTTTGGGAGGACAGTGGAGTCATGGCACTGGGCTTGGGAGGATGGTGGGGTCATGGCATTGACCTGGGCAGTGGGTAATTTGGGAGAGAAGCCACCAGTACTGCTGAGTTTCCTGGGGAGAGAGGGAGGGCAAGCAGGAGAATCAACAGAAGGTAACAGGAGATGGATACTGGGTTGAACAGCAGTAAGAATATTTTGTTTGCTTGGGTGAGTAGACACGTAAGTAATGCAGATAGAAGGATGTTCTTACGTAAGTATTATGCAACTGTACCCTAGGAGCTCTCAATCCATCATTATTATATGACAACTTAACTGTTAAACTTTAACATGAGTGAGTGCCAGCTAGGTATAAATAACATCTCATCCTTACCAGACAGAGACAGGGAATAGGAGGGTTTGGAGCTCCCAAGAAAGACAGTGTCACCACTCAATTGGGGAAGGAGAATTTGAAAGGACAATACATTTTATAGACATGATGGATTTGTGTAGGGCTAGCATGATTTCTCTTTAACTCAGCACAGGGAGTAAAAGTTGCATTTTTTCCTTTATTTAGCAAATAAATCCTCATGGTTTTCATATTTTTTGTCCAAACCTTATAAAGGATTTTCATTCTTGGGAGATTTGCTAATGGGCTGTAATGTATTGAGTAAGCCTCCTCCTTGCTAGAGAACATTTCTCTAGCATTCTCTCCCAATTTTCTTAATTATGTATGTATTATTAGTCTGTAACTTGGAGGCTGTGGGTCCTCCCTCATGGTTGAGAGGCTACTAGAAGAGAATGGAGCATGCAAGGAATTGAGGGTCTGAATTTGAGTGCTCAGTTTCTTACTCAGTGGAATCAATATGTCTAATACCATGTGGAAGCTGCCTGTGTTTTTTGGCCATTAAGGCATCTGCATTTTTTTTATATATTGAAAACCACTGAACTATGCCTTTTACTTTTCAGGTAATTCAAGATAATGTACAAGTCATTTAAATGACTCATTATGAAACTTGAGATGGAAGATAATTTTTTTAAAGACCTTTGTGCCACACTTGTGCCACTTTTCCTGCCCTGGGAGTCAAAGGTGCAGTGCTCGGCTGGAGGCACATGGCTCCTGCCCCCAATCACTGCTCCTGCCCCGTGTCTTTTTTCAGTCAGTTGCCACAAAAAGGCTAAGCATTCTGAGAACTGTAGAGACAGTCATGTCTACTATAATTGCTGAGGATTATATGGGTATGGACTATTTGGGCATTGCAACTACCTAATACATAGAGTGTGCTACTTTAAAGTTTTTATTGATCCTCTCTCACTTATACTAGCATTCATTTTTGTAGCACGATGGTTTATGAGGTTTTTACACATACTTTGTTGATTCTGCAACTCTTGAGATAAGAGCAGATGAGGAAGTGATGGTTCAGAATGGGTGGGTGTCTTGCCAGAGACCCCACAGCTAGTGAATGGCAGTTAGGGACAGACTCAGGTCTTCTGACCTCAAGACCATTATCTGGGCTGTTCTCATCCTTTGAGGTAATTTTCCCAAATCTATGTCCCTATCCTAGCTCCTAGAGAAGTTTGGTGTCTTCTGGATCCTTAACAGGGAACTTTTTGAACTTTTCCCTGGTCTCCCTCCCTCGTTTTTCTGCCCTTAGCCCCCTTTACTTCCACCCAAGCCCCAATTGGACAGACAGAGCATCCAAAATGCTCTGTGGATGGATTCTTGGGAGAGATGAAAGACATTTTCTGCCAGACTCAAAACTTCCACTTCCCCATGTCCTATACATATATTCAGTCCCTGTCAAAAGCCATTAACATATACTATAAATGGAGCATACATACATTTCATAAGTTGTTTTTCACTAATCCCATTCCAAAACTTTTTAAAAAGTCTGTTCCTTAGTACCTTAGATAATTTTAAACTATTGCCCCCTGTATTGGTTTTTAGTATAAGGATAGCCATGTTATATCTGTGGAGAGGGCCTGATAGGTCTCAAAAGTATACACGAGAGAGTGGCTGAGAGGCCCCATCCCCAGGGAGCACACTGTACAGGTAACGGCTCTTGCTTCATTGACAATTGTTGAGAATTCAAATATCAAACCTTGTGTGCATATTTGGGGGGTGTGTGTGAGAGAGATTTGGGGGCTTAGAGGAGAGGTCGGTAAAGGCTGGGGCATGAAGGTAATTGACTGCTTGCTCCATATCCTTTAGTTTCCCTGTGGTTTTGTATTTTAACTTTCTAATAGCCATGTAGGTATATTTACATATGAGTATGTATGTACTGAAAAAAGAGAACAGATTTAAGTTAAAATAACTTCCTAAAGTTGGTAAGAAGAGGAGACAAATTTTCAATTCAGGTCTCTCTTGACTCCAGAGTTGTGTTTTTTTCCCTAGAATATCACAACCATATCAGGAGATTTTAAGATTTCCCTGTGAGGGTAGTGAGGGGAGAGATCTCATTTTGTAGCTAGGATTCTGGAGATAATACAGATAATTTGAGATGTACCTGTTAAAATGCCTTATCTTCACCTTGGTACATTCTTCCACTATTGAGTAGGAGTTAACTGAAAAGGTATTATTCATCACTATTGTTTCATGGCTAGAAAATTTTGACTGATATATTTGGCCATTAAGCTTATTGCTATAAATTGGAGCAACATGGCATTAGTTAGTGTTTCTGGGGGTTATGGGCCAAGCAGAGTTCTTCAGACCAGATTTTTGTCTGACTTCCTGTTAGGTAAGTCACAGGCTGCTAGCTGGTCTGATGCACACGTTACATATCTTACTGAATCCTCCCTCCCAGTGTGAGCATAGACCGGGTTTTCTGAAGCAGGCTTCAAGAGGCTATGTGACTCATCAAAGTAATGCACAGCTGGGATTCGGAGCCATATATTTGACTCCAAAGTTCATGTTCTTAACCACTTCAAGGTAATAAATAAACCAACAAATAGAGGAAATAAGGAAGGCCAGAGTTACTTGGAGAGTGTGAATGCCAAAAACCCTAGAACTCACCCGGAGATAAATAAATTGGGTTAGATGTTGGTCAAAGGATTCAAAATTTCAATTAGATGGGAAGAACAAGTTAAAGAGATCTACTGTGAAACAAAAAATTGGGAGTTTGGCTTGTTGCAGTGAGTGAGAACACACCATGAAGTGACTCAGTTAAAGCGGGTTAGAAAGAAGCATTTGGGCTTTGGTTGGGTCATTTGCGGAGGGTTTAAGGAAGTAGGGTTTACTCTCTCCTGGATGCTGTCAGAAAGTAGAGGCAAGTCTGTGATTGTGTATCAAGAGGTTTTATTTATAGGAAGAGAGAATAAAGAGAATAAAGCTGTAATTGGTAAGACTTCACATTCACTCATTTTAGCCGAGAAAGGGGGTGTTTGGTATCTTGTGGGTGCTGCAGTGACCTTGTTTTGTCTGTGTTTAGATAAAATTATGAAGTGGACTTGCTTTGCCTCATTTTATCCTGGTCTCAGAGTGACCTTATCTGAGGTTGGTATTCTGCAATATTATGCCCAGTAGGAGAATAGCACGGCCTAGTGGTAAGGGCCAGGCCCTCCTTCAAAGGTCAGGCTGCTCTTGCTTTCTTTTTCACATATCAGCACCATTTCTCTTAACCCCAGGATCTATTTGTCTCCTAAAGGTAGGGTGTGTGTGTGTGTGTGTGTGTTGGGGGTGGGGCATGGTTGAAGAAGGGTCTGGCAGCTGTGTGATTCTTAGCAATGCTGTGTTTTTTTCAAGATGTTTTGGATCTCCTTGTGGGATGTGTCCACATGATAAAAATGTCACACATGAAAGCAAACTCTGTAGCCTACAACTTTCCTCCTCTGGGTTTCTTCTTTGTTTCAGCCTCACTTGTAGGAGCTGATGAATTGAAGGATCTGGGTGAGGTGAAGCAGGGAAGAGAAACTGGAAGAAATACTAGATACAGAGGGAGAAAGGAAATTGCTCAGTCAATAGAAATGAGAAACTGGCTCAGTTTCCAATTCTTCAACCACAGCACAGCTGTCAGTCAGATTGGTTGGGGCTGGGGTATGAGGTTGAGAGGTTAGATTTTCAAGTTCATAGGACTATCATTCCTCCTTTTCTTTATGGGTTGCCAGGAAATATCTGGTTTGCTTTTTAAAATAGAAGCAGTTCTTGTTTATTCCAGTTGATGTGGGAAATACAAGTTACAGGGTAGACATAAGAGCAGTGCAGACAGCCTGCCAGGACCCTGCTCAGCAATCTGGGGAGGGAAACTGCTCACCGAGAGCATGTGACAAACTTCCTGGTGGTGTAGTCAGGTAAAACTTACCTGAGTTAGCCTGACACATTTTTGGTGCTAGAGAGAAATTGTTGTTCACTCACCTGATAAGCAGGATGGCTGTTGGAGAAGAGGGAAGTTTCACAAGATGGTTCTGTCTGGACCTGTCTCAAGCCAGGTAACTTGCCAGCTCCCCAGAGCCGAGCTCTCTGCTCTCCTTTGCCTCCCTGGTCTGGTGGGGCTGGGGCTGGGCCTGGGCTCTCCCGAGCAGTGGCTTGCTGCTCAGGGCTAGCAGTGAGCACCACTTCCAGTCCCAGGCACCAGAAGGAAGAGGGGCAAGACTGGGCCTCCAGGGAAGGTGGAGGGAGATGGAAGCAGGAACCAGGCAGAACAGAAACAGCCCTGGGCTTAAACTGAGGACCCCTGTAAGCGCAGGAGTTCTAAATGACTGGACTCTGCAGGGAGAACCTCAGGCCTTGGTTCTTCCTCAGCTGAAAGGTGTGTCCTCCTCAAGTGTTGGGGGCCTGGCCATAGTGGGTGCTTGGGTTCAGGATCTTATTTTGTTTGGGGAGGAGCAGAGCCTGTTCCCATCTGTAGTGGAATTTGCACCTTCTATGAATGATGAGGCAGAGGTTCTAGGTAAGAAGCCAGCTAGACGGGGGGTAGAAAGAAATGGCTAAGTGAAGGCACCACCCTTCCTAGTTTCTGCTTGGTGGAGAAGTCAGGCGGTAAGATTTAAAGAGCAGCAGGTGGGCCGTCTTGCCCCACAGTAGCACTTTCCTGCTCCCATTGCTACGCTGGATTCCACCAACTAGAGATCAATTTCAGTCATCAAGGAAATGTCTGTAGTGAGGACTAGTTGTCATTGTCACTCAACCCTTAGTATGAATTAGTTTTCCAAAAGCCTTTCTCTTGACCTGGCGGAGATCCAATCACAAGAAGGGAGTTTTATATGTAGAGAGAATTTTGGAGCATGAGGCCCTGGAAAGGAAGGCAGGAGGGGCTTAGGGGATCCTGAGGATTGCTCAGCCAGTGGGAGCTGGGGGCAATGGAAAATTTAGTGGTGGGAGCAAAAGGCACCAGAGTGCGTGAGAAAGTATGACAAGAGATGGGAGAGTGGTTGTTCCCCTCTGCTCCCCTCTTCTAAAAGACCATAGAGAGAACCTTCTCAGCCAAGTGCAGGTGTCATTTATCATGATTCTCTAAGATATGTTTGTCCTGGAGAGACAAAGTGAGGCAGGGGAGGGGCAAGCTGGCTGTGTCCTGTCAGGACGTGAACCTTTGCCCCCTCTCCTGGGAATCAAGGACTAGGCTCCTGCCCCAGCTTTATCATGAGGTACACCTAAGACGCGTGCCCTCCATTCCCTTATCCCTCCCCTACTCTTGTGCTAAGCTGAGCTCACAGGAACCTGGGGGTGGGGGTGGCATGGGGTGAGGTGCTCCCTGTGTCTGAGTCCACTGGGAGGGTCCCCAAGGAACAGGTACATTTTCTTCATAAAGAACACAGTTTGGCAGTTGGAGTCAGATGTTCCCATTGCTTCCAAGTGCAGGAGGAAGAGGATCTGAAGAGTGTTGGCTCCATCACCACTTCGGGGGTGAGTGTGGCAGGAGCAAAAAGTGAAAGGAAACAGCAGCTCCCACCGTTTGGCTGTACGGCAAGGGCAGGCGTGTGCAGCAGGAAAGCACGCCTGCGTGTGCACTTTCCATCTCCCACACTTCAGTTCCTGCAAATTAGCCTCTTTTGTTGGACCCGTTTTGTTAGACTCATAGGGCCAATAAAAACAAAAGGAAGTGAAGATGTTTTAAAGCCCTCTTTATTTATAAGACTGGACAAACAAATGTTGAATTGTAAAAACTTCCTTCAGGACCACAAATGGAAACATAGTTCAGAAGAGAAATATTTTGACGGTAAACAAAAATCCCCCCAAATCATCCATTCTAATAGCTGGCTTGCTTCTCTCCTGTTTGAAAGGTGTTTCAAGTTGAGACCATTCAGGGCAAAGACTGGGTATGTGTCCCCAAAAGTCCACATACTTTTAATTAATGGAGAATTAGTGTTCTAAATACATATCTCTGCAAGGTTGGAAGGAAATTTGAACCACTGTTAACTCAAGATCAGGGATTGTTCTGGAGAACAAAAGGATCCGAAGGTGGGATCCAGAGAATCACCCGAGTCTCTGTAGATGGGAGCTACCATAGAACAAAAGGCAAAAGGTCCATTTCAGCAATCTTGTTCTTACTTCTGTCACCCAGACAATACTGAGAGAAAAGGAAGCCTTGGAAGGTTTTTTTGTAGAAAACAGTGAGAAAAACAGGCAGATGTGCTATTCAAATACAGAGCTGGCTTAGTATAAGACAGGTTCCTTTGAAAGTCTTTATACCTCCAAATTAAGAATAAACAGGGATGGGAGTAGTTATTATCTATTTTCCAAATTCTCTCTCTCCTACAGTCTATAAAAATGTTGCAGAATCCTAGACCAGGGTGAAAAATACTAGTCATGAGAATTTCTGGAGCCCAAGAGTTTCCGAAACTCCGTACCACCTGACTCGGCAATCTGAGCAGACACACACATGGTACAGGGAGCACAGATGTGGGGTGTTAGGAGAAAGCTGGTTCCAGCACCAAATCCAGTCATCAGGGAAGGAGGTGTGGTGGTGACACCTAATGCTTATTATTCAATTCTGCTCCAGTAGAACATGGTACCCAGGAGAACCCAAAACTAGAATAAAGAGAAAAAAATGAGGAAAAATAAATAAAAAAGTGTTTTAGAAACATCTCACACTTGGAGAAAAAAACAATGTTAGGTTCATTCAGACTTAGGTGACACTAGATTGTTAAGAGTAATCTTGCCGTAAGCAACATCACAGGGTCAGATGTGGCACTGAGCCCATCCTGCTCCGAAGCATCATCACTTTTAACTGGCTGCTCAGAGGCAACTTCCCTATTCCCCACTTTCGGACTCCAATTCCCATATTAGACTCCTTGTCTTCTGGGGATGCCCTTCTCACTTCTGTGCTTAAACTAGCCCCCTGGGGAGATTCTTTCCTCTTTCCATCAAGGCTAATTAAACTCTAGTGCATTCCTATTTCTAGTATGTATTATTTTAGGGTAAGAGTTTTTTGCTTCTAGTACTGAACTTCTCTTCCCAAGGGACTTCCCCTTTTTCCTAAAATACTTGTGACCTAGAATGGCTGAACCTGAAGAATGCCACAGAGCTCAAGATATCTGACTCAGGCAAGGAGTTAGAATATCTGGGCTCTGTTTTAGATCTGGTATTTACTCGCAGGTGACCTTAGCCATGTCACTTAACTTTCCTGAGCCTCAGTTTCTGCACCTGTAAAATAAATATAACGCCTTCTCTACCTAACAGAGCTAGAGGAGTAAATGAGATAATGAAATAATAATGTTTGTCTAATGGTTCATAGAATTTACGTGCATCAGCATTGCTCTAAGTGCTACATATACTCATATAACTGAAGTTAATGCTTCCAAAATCCTATGAAGAAATTGAGGCACCGAGAAGATAAGTAACTTACCCAAGGTTATGGAACTAGTAGACGGTGGAGCTGGGATCAGACCCAGGCAATCCACTTCAGAGTTTATCTGATCGACCATAGGAAAGCCCTTTGTAAGCAGTAGTGGACTGGACATGCTTAAGATCTCTTCTTTAGTACAATTCTCGAGAACCCTGTTGAATTTCTCTGTTCCCTGTAAAATGGGAGACTGGCTACCTATCTAGCTACTGTTGTGAAGTTTTAATATTAAAAGTATCTGAAATTCTTCCTTGTCCATGGCAGGCCCTCCATACATTTAGTTCCCTTCCCTTCCCTCTTCTGAATTTCAAAGGGGATTTACTAGGTCCAGAGTCCACTTGATCCTTGTGGAAATATCAAGGATTACAACTGGCTTGGAGTTCTAAGATACAAGACTTTAAGTGTTATCCCATAGTTCCTGTTAATGTAGCACAAATAGAAACTTCACAGTTACTATCTTCCATTCATTCAACAAATTACTGAGCCCTTACTGTGTGCTGTGCTAGGCACTGGGGGTACAAAGAGCAGCTGGTCCCCAGCCTTTTGGCAGAGTCAGACACATCACAGTGGAGTAGTTCCATGGTAGAGGTGTCCACAGGGTGTTATGGGAGTTCCTAGAGAGTGGATTGAGGGATCATACCTCTTGAAGGAGTTGACTACCCTCTCCTTCCTCTGTCACTCAGTTTTTCACCCCCTAACCCAGCATTTCTCAAAGCGTGGTAAAGAAAAACCCGAGGGACCCTTCCAGGGGTCCATGATGCCAAGACTTTTTGAATAACAATAGACTTTATTTGCCTTTTTCACTGTTTTCACAGTTACACTGATAGTACAAAAGCAACGGAAGGTAAAACTGCTGGAGCTGTTAGCATC